TTCTCTGAAATTCTTTGTTTTCAGCCTCGAGTCTTGGAGGAGAGAGCAGAAGAGGAGCTCAATAAGTGCTGATCAAGAGACTGATGGATGTTTTTCAGTACTGGGCATATTCTCTTTGTGTCAAACATGTTTAAAAGGCAAGATCTATCTTCCCTTCAGAAACATCCACCTTTTCCCAGAGACGTCCCCCTGGAAGCTGAGGCTTTTTGAGTTGAGAGGGATCTTGGAGATCATTAAGTTCTATCTTTCATCCAATAAACTGGAAATTGCGGCCTGGATAGGTGAAGTGACTTGTCTAAGGCAGGCTCACAACTATTCTGCAGCAACACTGGAAACAAATCTCAGGTATTTTGATTTTTTTCACTCTGGCCTCTTTTTGTCCTTCCAGAAAGAAAGTTTTCATGCATCTCTTTGTAGCGATATGTTTGGAATGTTTTAAAAAGGTATTAGATAGTAATTTAGAAAAGGAAAAAATAATGACACAAGAGATAAACCTTGCAAGGGTACAAAGCTACATTTGTTCTGATTGGCTAAGAGGGTGATTGTTATCATAATAGAGAACTATTTAATCGATATAGGTAGAAGCTCTCCGGGGGCTGGACACAGTACAAGGAAACTCTGAAACACTTCTGTCTACAGATCTGGAAAGCAGATCCAGGATCTGTGAATGGCCGGGGTTTCCAAGGCAGAGTGCAAGCATTAGGTCACGAGCTACAGCTGAGAGGACTGAGCCCCACAGACCTGATGAAGAGAGCAATCGGTGGCCGCAACATAATCTCAGCTCTGCCACTAGCTGACTGTGAGACTGTGGGCAAGTTCCTTCACCTGTCTGAACCTTGCTTTTCCCACCTATAAGATGAGGGTGGGTAGACTCTGATGTCCTTTTTATGACCTGTCAAAGGTCTTTGAAAACCCTTCCTATAGATTCTAGCATCCCATAACTTGATAAAAAGGGAGTGGACATGGACTCACCTTTCCTAAAAAAGTTCCAGAGAAGGGAATATCAGGTCAGCCTGGTAGGTTTGAGAACAGGCCAGATAGATGTTGAAACTTCTTCAGTTCGTCTCAGATTCATAAACCTATCATTTTTCTTGGCTGTCAAGAAAAAGAGGGAGACCTGGGATCTTCATTCTTACCATTAGCCCCAGGTCCACCCCATCTAACTTATTAAGTGGATGTGCAAAAGCAATTCTTACATATTATTAGGCTCATGGAGACCATGGTATCCAGACTGATGGCTGCAAGGTCTGCCTTCTGGAGGGGCTGCCCCAGCAGGAAGGCTCCCCTACACAAGGATTCATGGCATTTACACTTTTTCTTCCTCAGGGTGAGGACTGAGCTGATCTCACATGGGTAGACAGAGCAGAGCATAGGGAGGAATTCCCATCTGGAAGGCTCTTGGGGTTTAGCCGAACTCCAAAGACGCTGCGTGGACCAGCTTAGGACAGGGAGCGAGAGGAAATAAACCAAAAGGCAATTGCATTACCTTTCAGCTGGAAAAACAATCAGATTACGCCTGCACTTACATAATTAAGTAGCTTCTGGAATCAAATGCTTCAGATGCTTTCTATAAGGAACCTGCTGCTTGAGGTTCAACAGAACTTATCTGCCCGATACTCATATTCCAGGCAAGACCTTCCCTTGGAGAAAATATTGGCACTTTGAACAAAAATGTAACATGAAAAGCAGAGAAGAGAGGGCCTCTATCATGTAAGATGCTTATGCAAAGTGGATTTGGTTTGGAAAGTCTTGTAAAACTTTCCACATGACTGGCACTGTGTGGGGATAAGCAAATCTTTTAAATCCCACCAACTATGTCCTCATTCAACCTGGATTCTTGAAGTGGCCTCCGGGGTGCCCGCTGCTCAGGACTGAAAGGGTGGTTGGCCATACCCACACTCAAGGCTCCTGGGACCCTGTTTTGTTTCATGGAGGGTTAAAAAGCAATGTAGCCAAATATCCCAGGTCTTAAAGTATTTCTATATGGTTGGGGGAATAATGCAACCATATCCCATGAGACGATGAACACAGTGCTGGCAACATGCGGGAGGGAACCCCCTCTATGGGTTAGGCTATGGTTACGTTAAGGTGGAGAGGGTCTTAAAAGTTGGGTGCGGGACAAGACAGAAAGATGGGAAACTGGTTTTCCTTCTGTATGGCTAAAATGTATAAAGGGGAAAAAGGAGTTTTTTTTTTTTTTTTGTCTTTTTCCGTGTCCGGCAATGGATCGCAACCCTCAGTGTCGCCCCCGCACCGGAC